TCTCTGATGCTGCTTGGCCTGCTGTGTTCATCCAGCTCTACACCGTGTTACCTCAGATTCTCCAGCATCGGCAGTTCCTACTATCTCTGGAACAAGCAGAGACTGGGTCTGTATTTGAGATTAAATTGACAGTTAAAAACAAATTCAGGGGAGTCAAAGGATATGAGGCATGGGCAGACACTGGGCTTGTTACATCTGCCTGAGTAGAAGACAAACACCAAACAGTGATGTAATTCCTATATAATGCTCATCAAAAAAGTGACAGGATTAATACACACCATTGTCTTACCAATCGTGTTTCATTCAATTCAGATACTGACAATGTTGTGGTGGAATGACAGTTTTCACCATAATGCTCTCAAAACACTATATCAAGAACTGCTGATTTTAAGTAACTGGTAAAAACCTTAGTGGCTGAGGCGGAGAATTTTTTCTTTTAAGCAGCAGAATATTATAAATTCAGAATGCCTGAATGGGAAGTGGAAGCAGATGGATCAGTTTTTGAAAAGGGAATATTTGCATGCCAATGAGGAAGAGCAGGGCACTGAGATTAACTGGACAGCTCTTTCAGAAGAGCTAGCATAGGAATGATGGGCTGAATGATTTCCTTCTATGCTGTATGATTTTTATGAGTTGCTGCATGGAGATTTTGACAAAGATTTTAAGGATTGGTGCTTTCTGACATGTTAATAAAACCCATCAGCTTTCTGCTTTTTAAATTTCTTACCATAATGCCCAGTCTATCACACAGATTATAAAATTCATCTTGCTCATACACTCCTCCTCCCCAGACTCTTAATGCATTCATATTAGCATCAACAGCTGACTGCAACAAGTTTTCCAATCTGTAAGTTATGCAAAAAAAAATGTTAGTAAACAGTAAGCAGTGTGCCATAAATGATGGTGCATAACTGAAGTAGCTATGCACATTCTGATTTCCACATAATCAAACATTACTGCCTGGTTTCAAAGTTTTAACATCAATCATCGTGATGCTCAAACAGGAAAATTTTCCGGCACTGGTGACGATAAGGTCTCATCTGTGGCAAACTTCTCGAATGTCACTGACAGCACTTCAATATCCACAGCAGGTAAGAGGAGAGGAACTCAAGAACTACATTTGGTTAACATCTTGAGCATAGATGTGTTAATATCACCAGATCATGCCAAACTTTAATCATTTTTCTTGCTGAACTATTAAAGAAGTTCCTCATTTTCAGCACTCAGGATTATGAAACTTAACACTTTACTCTGTACAGATCCAAATAACTTGTCAGAGTGTGTGTTGAAATCTTCTCTTGATTTATGTAAAAATATAGTATCCCACCTAACGTGCCGTGTATAATTAACAGCCAAACATGGATTGTGCAGTTCAGGAAAGCTGTTCATAAAGTAGTCCACGACCATATATAGCAAGCCCTAGTCAATATTCCAGATTTGGCTGATATGCGGAAAATAACATTTGCACCACACTAATGGTAATCAACGATCACCTCCAAAAAGACAGAATCCAACTGTTGCCCTTTGACATTCAATGGCATTATTAGCACCGAATTCTCTACTATCAACATCCCAAGGGTTACCACTGATAAGAGATTGAAGTGGACCAGCCATATAAATACTGTAGCTGCAAGAACACGTTAGAAGCCGGGAGTACTGCTGCTACTAACTCACCTCCTGACTCCTCACAGGCTGTCTACCAGCTACAAGGCATAAGTCAGGACTAAGTTGCTTAACACTCGAGAAGATTGACACCTTTCAGGGCAGAACAACTCACCTGATTGTCACCCTACCTAACATCTTCAACATTCACTCCTTCCATCACTGACACACATTGACAGAACAGGATTCCATTAAAGCTCTGATTTTCTATCTCAAATCTTTTCTAACACAACATTGCACACTATTAAGGAAAAGTATACAGTTGATGGCAGGACCGTGAACAGCATTGATGTCCAGAGGAATCTTGCGGTTCAAGTCCATAGCTTCCTGAAAGTGGCCATGCAAGTAGATAGGCTGCTGAAGAAGGCGTATGGCATGCTTGCCTTTATTGGTTGGGGAACTGAGTACAAGAGCCAGGATGTCATGTTGCAGCTTTATAAGATTTTGGTTAGGCCACATTTAAGAGTACTGTGCTCAATTCTGGTCGCTACATTACAGGAAGGATGGGGAGGCTTTGGAAAGGGTGCAGAAGAGGTTTACCAGGATGCTGTCTGGATTAGAGGGCACGAACTATAAGGAAAGGCTGGAAAAACTCAGGTTGTTTTCTCTGGAGCAGCGGAGGCTGAGGGGAGACTTGATAGCAGTCTATAAAATTATGAGATGCATAGATAGGGTTGGCAGTCTGAATCTTTTTCCCAGAGCTGAAATGTCTAATACTAGGGGGCATGCATTTAAGGTGAGAGGGGGAAGGTTCAAAGGAGATGGGAGGGGCAATTTTTTTACACAGAGAGTGGTAGGAGTGTGGAACGTGTTGCCAGAGCTTGGGGTGGAGGCAGATATGATAGGGGCATTAAGAGACTTTTAGATAAGCACATGAATAGGCAAGGAATGGAGGGATATGGATCAAGGGCAGGCAGAAGGGATTAGTTTAATTTGCGTCATGTTCGGCACAACATCGTGGGCTGAAGGGCCTGTTCCTGTGCTGAACAGTTCTATGTTCTTTTGCGCTATCCTAGTAATCAGTACAAGGCTTTATCTTCCTTTCCATAATGGCAAACTAAAAGCAAGCAAAGTTCTGTCATTGTAATGAATAGAATTGTGGTAGTTAGGAGGACTGAGGCTAAGTAAATCAAGCCACAACAATGCAGTCTATTCCATGTGGGGACAAAACTTTCATAACTCTAATTCAGCATATTTCAGAGCTCCCTTCCCCCTGCCTCATTTCTGAAGAAGGGTCCCGACCCAAAACGTCAACTTTCCTAAACCTCTGATGCTGTCTGCCTGCTCTGTTCCTCCAGCTCTACACTGTGTTATATAAGGTAAATGAAGTTTATTTTATGGCCTTTAATTGCCAGATTTAATTATTTATGTACTAATGTATGAACACAAATTAGGCAGTCGCTACAGTTAATCATGAAATTTTTAAAACTTACACATCAAATGTCACTCTGTCCAGAAAGGCATCTGCAGGAATCCAGTTTGAACCCTTGAGAAATATCGGGAGCCCATTTATCCGAAAATAAAAGCTTAGTCCAGGAGACCCTGGTACTGGTTCTTGTATCAGCTCCACTGTTCTGAAATAGACCTACTGAAAACATGAGATTACAAAATACTTAAACTGTCAGGAAAAGTGGAATAAAATTACCAATTTTTTTTATGAATTATGATTCCAAAATTAATGTTTATCTACCTATGAGTTAAGACACAGGAGTTGAAGTAAACCCATCAAGTCTGTTCAGTGCCGCAATACGATCACGGCTGATCTGATAATCCTCAATAACTTTCCTGCCTTTCCTCCATAACCCTTGATTCCCTACCTGATTAAAAATCTGTCTATCTCAGCTTTGAATATACTCAATGACCCAGCGACAACAGCTCTACGCAGTGAAGACTTCCACAATTTCACCATTCTCTGAGAGAAGAAATTCCTCCTCATCTCTGTCTAAAATGGACAACCCTTACTCTGAGATTGTGCCCTCCACTACTAAACTCTACTGCAAGGGGAAACGACTTCACCACATATACCCTATTACTTCCCTGTAAGAAGTTTGTATGTTTCAATAAGATCTCCTCCCAGTCTTCTAAACTCCAATGAGTACAGGCCCAACTTACTCAATCTCTCTTCCAAACTTTCCCTCCATACCCAGGGTCAACCTAGTGAACCTTCTCTGGACTACTTCCAATGGCAGTATGTTTTTTCCTTAGATAAGAGGCACAAAACTAAACATAGTATTACATGGGTAGTCTGATTAATGCTTCGTATAATCTTAACAAGACTTCCCTATCTCCATGCCCTTTGAAATAAAAGGCAACATTTCACTGCCTTCCCTATCACCTGCTGAACTTGGATGCTAGTTCTTTTTGCGATTTAATGCATGAGGACCCATAAATCTCGCTGTTTTGCTTTCTGCAGTATTTCTCCAATTAAGCGATATTCATAACCTCTAATCCAGACAAACTGCATAAATTTCCTTTTTCCCAAGTTTCTGCCCTTTCACTTAACCTGTCTATTGCCACCACTTACCCTCCACCTATTTTTGTGTGATCCTCACCACATGTCTTTGCAGCAGTTTTTGTGTCAGCTGTAAATTTGGCTACAGTACATTCACTTACTTTATCCAAATCATTAATATATATTATAAATATTTGTGACCCCAGCCCTGAACTCTGTGGCACTAAAAGGTTGCCATCCTGAAAATGTCCCCCTTATCCCAATGCACACTCTTCTATTATTTCGCCAATCCTGCACCCCAATACCCATGGACTTCTAGTTCATTAAATTATCTGAACTTCCGGAGACTTTGAGCTCAAATGAGAGTCATGAATCACCGGAATATGATTAATACGCTAGTGATTCACAAAGAGGACAGCTGGAAGCAGATGCCCCTCCTCCTCAATTAATGGCAGAATGTTTGAACTGTCTGTAAAGCATACTGCATTATCACAGGATATGGGCATTGCTGGAAAGGCCAGCATTAATTATCAATCCCTAACTTCCCTTGAGAAGGTGATTGTGAGCTGCCTTTTTGCTACACTTGAGTTGTTTGCTCAGTTATTGCAGAGAGCAGTTGTGATTATTACTGTGGGTCAGGAGTCACATGTAGGCTAGCCAGGTAGGACATTAGTGAACCGGTTAAGTTTTTAAGACAATCCTATAGTTTTGTGGTCATTACCAATAACATACTTTGTTCTGGATTTTATTTGTCTGGATTTTATTAATAACCACTGGGTTTTTCGTGTGTAACTGTATTATTTTCTGTAGCCACAATAATTTCTTTTAAAAACATAATTTAAAAACAGACCAGGTTTAAAAGTGAACGGGTTTTGTGCACTGTTAATTGATTTTTGTTTATTTAGATTATTTATCCTGCTGGATCATAAAACAATGAGGCCTCACAGTTTGCTAAGTGTATTCTGGAACTTGTTTTTATTTTAAGCTGAAGGGAAACACTCACAGCTGACAGAAAGTGAGAGTTTTACTTGACTTTGAGTGAGGCAGTCCTGTGAAGTCCTTGGAATAGGATGGTTGTGTAGCCAAGTGTTCCTGAGAAGGGAAAGCTGTATCGTTCACTAGGTCAACTTGGAGTAAGGAGTTAGTGTTAGTCTAAAACCAGATATGTTGTATTAAAACCTGGAAGAGGTTACTTAAAGTGAGTATATTTAAGCAAGTGTATGATAGCTCTAGAAAGAAGTTATCAGCAGTTCAAATCTAAAAGATATTGTTACAAGTGACTTAAACCTACCCCAAAGTGTTATATACAAGAATATCATATGAATATTACGAGTAGCGTTTTGGGTCCTTTAAAGAAACTGTTTTACTTCTTTTTAGTTTATCAAGGAGTGTTTTGGGATTAATGAGGTTACACTTTTAAAAAAAAGTCTTTGAATTACAAGTATATGGTTCCATCCTTTTTGTACTGTTAAAGCACAAACTACAGCACATCATGCTTTTCTTTCAACGAAAGACTACTTTGTTAACATCAAAATAATTAAAAAATATGATCTATCAAAGTTGGTTCCTGTCTGGTAATAACATAAAAGGGGAGGCAATGGCCTAGTGGTATTATCACTGGCCTGTTAATCCAGAGACCCAGATAATGTTCCGGGGACGCAGGTTCGAATCTCACCACGGCAGATGGTGGAATTTGAATTCAATAAATATCTGGAATTAACAATCTAATGATGGCCATGAATCCATTGCCAATTGTCAGGGAAAAACCCATCTGGTTCAGTAATGTCCTTTAGGGAAGGAAACTGCCATCCTTACCTGGTCTGGCCTACATGTGACTCCAGACCCACAGCAATGTGGTTGACTCTTAATTGCCCTCTGGGCAACAAATGCTGCCTGGCCAGCGATGCCCTCATCCCGTGAATGAATAAAGGAAAAAAAAATCAGCTGGGATCATAAGCATCGAAATGAGATTCCCACCAGGATGAACCAAATGATAAGATGAAATGTCAATTCTCTGGATCATCAATCCAAGCTTGTGTGTTATTAGTCCAGTAACAGTGGCTAATGTTAACATATCCTGTATAAAGCAAATTATAGATGCTTAGTTTAACTTTTAGACTCTAAATTTCTCAGCTGAAGTAAGACAACGTTGAGGTCAAGTCACAAGAAATGAGAATTGTTTCCTTTTCTTCTTGAAGGCAAAGAAGTAAAAAAGGAAGACATTCTTTTAAATTACTGACCAAAAGTATGACATTTTAAAATTGTTTCACCCATCCTTAACTTGGGGAAAAAGAACTACACTAATTAAAAGTTGTCAACCTTCCATAATTTGTCATCCAGTTGATAATGTGGATTTTTAAATAAGCATTTAAACAGATAATTGAGAATGACTGACCATAATAGACTTTTCAATGTGGTATTTCCTGCTGATTGTGAAAGTAACAGTCATGTTGTAACCAGTCTGATTACCATAACCAATGGGCCACCAAAGATCAACAGAAGTATCCTGGAAAATAAAGTTCCAACAAATAGTATGCTGCTTCTCATGTTTGTGCACATGTCCTTTGTGAAGATCAATCCACAACATATTTCTAAAACTTACAATAATTGCAATGAAACAAATAGTTCACCAATAATGAACAAATGGAATGATGAACTAAATGTTAATTTCAAGTTCTCTTTGTACAGAGTTTCAAGAACACAAGACAGATTGTGAGCCTGATTTGCATCTCAGAGTACTGTATGTCAAAGGCAAAGCATGCAGGCTATGGTCATGTACTGGAAAATGGGAATAGAATAGCTAGGTGGTTGTTTTTGACCAGTGCAGGTTTGATGTTCCGAAGAGCCTTTTTCTGTGCTATGGACCTCTCTGACTCATAACCCAAATGGTATATGTTTGTGTTTGTGGTCTACAAGAGCTTCTTCCCACCATTCTCTCTCTCACCCTATTAACATAGCCTTCTATTCCTTTCCCTGTCAGGTTCTTACTTAGTTTCTTCTTAAATGATTAATGTTTTTCATCCGATCCATTCCCTGTGGTAGCAAGTTCTATATTCTCATCATTCTCTGGGTAAAGAGGTTTTTTCTGAATTCTCAAATGGATTGCTCTGTGATTAATTTATATTTATGGCCCCTAGTATTGAACTTTCCCCAATAAGGGAAAATATTTTCTCCGTATCCAACTGGAACTTTAAATGAAGAACAATTGTAGTATACATGCTCCTATCATGAGGGAGTAATGAAGATGAAAATTCATCTTCAATAAAGAAATCATTACACACACTGAGTGATCCATGACTGTGGGGAAATTCAGTAACTTATTATTTACATCTAAGACTAAAAAATTGTTACAACATCATTTGTTACCTAAGGTTGTCTCACTATCAGAACAATATGAGAAATTGGACACATATGAATAGTCTAGCAGAAAACCTCCACCCTTCTCTTCCACACCTCTCCAGATGAATGCCTGTTGATTTTGGAGCGCTTCAGAGGTTGAAATTATTCCCTACAAAACTCCAATTGCAGAAGGTTCTACTTGGCCAGGTTACTCTTCTTAAAAACTGCAAAACATGGCAGATCAAAGATAGAAGATCAAGTCAAGTTTGGGGCGGCACGGTGGTTCAGTGGATAGCAATGCTGCCTCACACCACCAGATACCCGAGTTGGTTTCTAGCCTTGGGCGACTGTTGGTGTGGAGTTTACACATTCTCCCTGTGTCTGTGTGGATTTCCTCCAGCTGCTCTAGTTTCCTCCCACGGTCCAAAGATGTGCAGGTTAGGTGGACTGGCCATGCTAAGTTGCCCACAGCATTCAGGGTTGTGCAGGCTAGGTGGATTAGCCATAGGGAATGCAGGGCCATAGGGAATGCAGGGTTACAGGGACAATGTAGGGAGGTGGGTCTGGGTGGGATGATCTTCGAAGGTGTGGTGTGGACCCGGATGGCCGAATTGCCTGCTTTCACACTGTAGGGATTCTATGATTCTAAGTCAAAAGGTTTTATCAATAGCCAATTACAGATCAGCAAAGATGTGATCACTGGAAGCTGAAGATTTGACAGCACACAAAAATTAAAACATGTTAAATTATTGATCTGCAATTTTTTGAAGTGGAACTGCAGCTTAAATCTGTTAACCCTTTCTTCCAGAAAGTAAAATCGTGGCTAGGAGAAGAGCAATTTGGGATCATTTGGTAAGTACGTACTACAGACACAATGAACCATGTCATAGAATGTCATACTCTGCAGTAAATGTACCTTTGTGTTTTTCTGCAGATCAATGTAAACGGATTCCAGATCACTGCTGCATCTCAAAACCCATCAGGTGACACATGGAACAACCATTATTATATTGAGTACCAGCCTCCACACCTGTACATGACCATTCACTGGTCATAGTGAGATCAGAAGTGCCAGTATCCCAGACCTAATGACCAAATTATTGAACTAACCAGTAGATATGGAAAGCACTGGACTCAGCTGCAAGTTGTGGATGAAAAGGAGGCAACACTGCCACATGTGCAATGTTACAGCCTCTATGGTAGGGCTCATTTCAGTCTCCTGTAGTAGACTTTAAAAGGAAGTTATTAATCCAAAGACTAAGAAATATAGCTGAATTGTCTGAAAATATTCAACCTTCTGCTTTTGTTTCAATTTTTAATAAGTTTTGCAGTTAAGGCTAGATATCCTGGATCAAGGATTAGTCAACCATGAAAGCTGATTTGGTAACTGGATAAATATAGACATTTGAAACAAACAACAACAGAAATTGCTGGAGAAACTCAGCAGGTTTGGCAGCATTTGTAGAGAATGGTCACTGGATGTGAAGTGTTAACTGTTTTCTCTCTACAGATGCTGCCAGACCTGCTGAGTTTCTCCAGCACAATGCTTTTGTTAAAGTAAATGTTCAGTGCTGAAGGCTGTAACGTGCTTAAGTGAAAAATGGAATCCTGTTCTTAGAGCAATCATTGAACTTCACTGGGCCACTGCAACAGATCTAAGACAGAAATGTTAGCATGAGAGTGAGATGGTGTATGGAAATGGCAAGCCACTGGAAGGTCAGGGTTTTTTCACACGCACAGAGAGGTGGTGTTCTGTACAGCAATTACCCAGACTGTGTTGGGTCTTGCCAACATAGAGGAGACCGTCTTGCACTTGAAATGTTTACTTTATTTCTTTCTCCAGAGATGCTGCCAGACTCAACTGTTTAGGTTCTCTAGCATCTTGTTTTTATTTTAGCAATTTCTGACTTCTGCCTTCCTATAATTACCCAGAGACATCAATAGTGAAGGTTATAAATGTAACAGAAAGATTCACTTAGCTGAGTTAAATAATTACAGTATAATATTCCTCACCTGATTAATGTCCAATTTGACTTTACTTCTGCTGTCTTCTTTGTTTGCAAGAACTATTTTGTAAGTTCGTTGTGTTCGTAAAGATGGAATGCTAACCGTCAGCTCACCTTCAATTGGCTCGAAGAAAACAACATCATAAAAACTCTCTACTTCCACAGACCACTTCTGTGCTTTTTCATCTAAAAAGGAAGATTTCAATCAAAGATTTCTAACAATTCAATTGTATTTAACTTTTCATTATAAGGTTCTTGCTCAATTCACCTTTACAACATCTTTTCTAACGCACTAAATGTACTTGATTTGTAGAGTCGTACAGAACAGAAACAGATCCTTCCACCCACCATGTCTATGCCAACCAACAAATACCAAACTACACTAATCCTAATGACCTGCACTTGGCCCATAGCCTACAAAGTCCCAGCATTTTAAGTATTCATCCAGATGTTTCTTAAATGTGGTGAGATTACCAGTCTCCACCACCCTCTCAGGCAGCATGCTCTCTCTGACCACCACTCCCTGGGTGAAAGAATATTTGCTCAGATCTCCTCTAAACCGCTTGCTCCTCGCCTTAAACTTATGCCCTCTGGTCTTTGACACAGGGAAGAGATTCTCACCATCTACTCTGAAGTATACAAAAATATGAGAGGTATACACAATCAGATACCCCCTTAGCCTCCTTTGCTCCATGGAAAACAAACTCAGTCTAACCAGTCTCTCCTCATAACTGACACTTTTTATCCCAGCCGAAATCCTAGTTAATCTTCTCTGCACCCTCTCCAGTGTAAACACGTCCTCCTGATAGTGTGGCAACGAGAACTGCACGCAGTATTCCATCTGTGGCCTAAATAATGTTATATAAAAGTTATAACAAAAATTCCTTTTACTATATTCTATGCCCTGACTACTAAAGGGAAGCATCCCATATACCTTCTTGACCACCCTGCCCACCTGTGCTGATACGTTCAGGGTTCTATGGACTTGTACGCCAAGTCCTTTTGTTCCTCAGTACCCCGTGAGCCAAATGTTCATTGTCAATATCCTTCCGTTATTAGGCCTCCAAAAATGCATCACCTCGCACTCAGTAGGATTAAATTCCAACCACCATTGCTCTGCCCAATTTACCAGCTGATCAATGTCAGACTGTAGCCTGAAACCATCCTCCTCACTATCAACACGACCACCAATTTTTGTGTCATCTGCAAACTTACTAATTTTACCTTCTATACACAAAATCGTTAATGTACATAAAAAACAAGGGTACCAGCATCTATCCCTGTGGTACACTGCTGGTCACATGCTTCCAATCACAAAAACAACCCTCCACGATTACCCTTCGCCTCCTAAATGTAAGCCAATTCTGGAATCATATTCCACATGAGTGAGGTACTTCCTGTCAGATTCGAGATGATAGAGTTCAATTGTTGCAGTTATGGTCAATAATAATTTTTTAAAATTATTCATGGGATGTCGGCATTGATGGCTAGGCCAGCATATTTTGCCCATCCCTACCCGCATATAAGAGTCTATCATGTTACTTTGGGTCTGGAGTCTTATCTAGGTCAGACTGGGTAAGGATGGCAGATTTCCTTTCCGAAAGGGCATTAGTCAGATGGGTTTGGCTTTTAAATGACAATCAACAATGGTTACATGGTCATCATTAGACAAGCTTTTTATTGAACTCAAATTTCACCATCGGTCACAGTGGGATTCAAATCCATGTCCCCAGAATACTGGCGTGAGGTTCTGAATTACTAGTCCAGAGATATTACCACTTCTCTACCACCTTCCCTTAAGACAAGGCCCTTGAAAATATGTAGAATTCCCTCCATGTTTACTGGTGCAGAAACAGTCCACATCAGATAAATTGTACAACTGATTAAATTAGTATAAATAATAATCTTTAATTAATGATGAAAGACTAGGACTATTTTAAATTATAGGCAATCTGATAGAGGTATTCAAAATGTAACAGTTTTGATAAGACTGTGAAACACATTACACCTGTACTGACTGGTATAACTGTAAGGTCAGCAAATGAATTAAGTGAAGCTGAAATTGACTACACATGATTCTAGCCCTCCATTTTCTTGGCTTGTTATGGTGGACTGACTTATTATTCATTAAATGTTATATATTTTACACCTAATGCATTTTGAAATGAACATAGAATTTAACTCCAGTCGGAACTTTCTGCTGGGTCAACAAATGAAGTCCAGCATTGAAACAGCTCATATTCTACATAGCCTCAATGTCTGAACGTACACAAATGCTGGTCACAAATGCAACATCTGCTTTTAAATTATGACGCATGGGCTGGTTTGCCAACGAATACAGTAGCTTTCTTAGCAAGTATCAGTGATGGGTTCACACTGTACACAGTTTCCAAGGAGACACATAACTGTCTATTTTAACCCTAATTTGAAATAAGACGACATAATATGACAGGACTTGCAATGTTTAAATGCTGTCCTCTGGGTATACTGGTTGTGAGTGAAACATATTACAGTCAAAAAACCATTAGCTTAACTCACAAGCACTTCATTTTCTCACTTGATGGAGAAATAGTTAAGAAATGTTCCGGTGTTAGTGGCAGTTCTTATCGTAACCATCTACACAGTTAAAGTACTGGGAACTGATGAAGAGGTCTGGATTTATTACAAAATTATGGAAACACACAAGAGTAACCGCCACTAAAAAGTGGGAAAATGCCAGGAAACCTGGGGGACTTCCTCCCAGAGATCTACAAAGCACAGTCACCCTCAGACTCGACAGCAACACATGAAACAGGAGCAATTAACCAGCACTGACACATCACAAACCACAAAACAATAACAGAACTTTACTAACCTCCTACTTCCGTGTCTGAAGCAGAGTCAGTCCATGTATTAATCCGTTCAGGTACAGTCCCTCTCAAACTCGTCAGTATATTTGATGTTTGGACAATACATTGTTAGTGTATACGTGTCGTGAGCACAAATATAGATATAGCACAAGGGAAGGTTTTACACATGTAAATCATACACTGGGAAATTGTGGGGATTGTGTCTCTAATCTCCCAATACCTGATCTCACAGGGTGGTTCCCAGACAGTAACAATTATCATTGGTAAAAGCAAACTCCTGAAATTGGTACTTACAAGTGCACTTTATTGTCATTTTTGACAACTTTCCTTTTCTGTAATTTACTTCTTTAAATGTAACTTAAAATTGCTCTTCAGGAATTAAATTTTATAAAAAATGATTCCTTTTTTCCCCCGACTAAGCATCTTAGGAGGTTTTATTACATTAAAGATGTCATATAAATACAAGTTGCTGTTGCTGTAAACACTATTATTGTTACAAGTGATGTGTGCTGAATGGCTGCCACCAGCTGCCCACGAAGATATTTATAGTGAAAGAAAATGACTTGCCATAGGCATGTGACCAGTCAGTACATTTCTCCAAGCATTCCCCATTTCATAACAATAAAATTGTACACACAATCATTTGTAATTACAAATTATACAATTTAATCCAATGTACATAGTCACAAAAAAAACTGTGTTAATTCTTGAATCTTCTACTTTTGTTAGTCTCTGCACATGCAGAAATATGCTGCAGTCTTTACATTGTGTAGGTGTCCAAATGGTATGTGTGTGTGCTGTCATTAGTTGTTCCTCTGTTATCTGCTCATGCTGAGGGTGATGCTTTTTCTTTGAGAAGTATTGCTCCTCCAATGAATACTGGTCCGAGGTAACTGCTCTTACTGATCCATTTTTGATGCTGGGAAACAGTAGGCCTCTGATACTGATGGTCATTCAATATTCCATGCATGTGGTGAGTTAATGCTTCTTGATCCACAACCTGTAGTGATAGCACAGCTTCTCTAGTGTATGTAAATGTCTGAGGTTGTAATGATATGTATATGGGCGTTCATATTCATTATGCATGCTTGAGGTGAAAACTGCTCTACACAGAACCCGTTAAACCAAAAGATGTAGGAGAAACAGTCTATTCAGCCCATCAAGTCTACTCTGCCATTCAGTGGCTGATTGGATAATCCTCAATTCCATTTTCCTGCCTTTTCTCCACAACCTTGATTCTCTTCCTGATTAAAAATCTGTCTATGTCAGCCTTGAATATACTTAATGACCCAGCCCGGCATGGTAAAGAATTGCACAGATTGACTATTCTGTGAGAAAAGAACTTCCTCTTCATCTCTGTCTGAAATGTGAGGCCTCTTATCCTGAGATTATGCCCTCTGGCCATGAACTCTCCCACAAGGAGAAACAACCTCCCTGCATTTACCTTATTAAGTCCTCTAAGAATCTTGTATCTTTCAATAAGGTTGCCTCTCATTCTTCTAAACTTCAATGAGTTTAAGCCCAACCTCTTTAACCTCTCCTCATAAGACAGTCCTTCCATACCTTGTATCAACCGAGAGAATCTTCTCTGAACTGCTCTCCAATGCTCAGTTCTGGCAATAATTTGGCAGCTTGACCAAGGTGAAATTTGGCTTTCTGTTGTTTCACTGTGACTTTGTACCTCAACCTCTCACTACTCCTGGCTTCAGTATATTCCTCTACTGGAATGGTGGTTTGGTGGTGTGTGACATTAGACTAGTTTCCACACTTGCAACAGGTATATTTCTCAATTCAAAGACCACCTTGTCCAAGTCTGTGTTAGGTGTTCATGATTTCTTTATGGTCCCTTTGGCAATCTGCACCACCACTTCAGTCTCTGCATTTGACTGGGATCGTCTACAAATGATGTATGGTGTTGAATTTCCCAATCCTTTGTGAAGCAGCTGAATTCTTCACTCATGTATTGAGGGCCCTTGTCACTCATCACCATGTCTGAAATGTCAGTGACTGAAGTGTGCTTTAAGGCATTCTATAATCTCACTGGCAGTCGTTGACATCAGTTGGTCCACCTCCCAATAGTTACAACAAATGGTCGACTGTGAAAAGATAATCAGTTCCTGACAGAGTGATGCAGTGTACTTTAAGCTTCATCCATGGTCTGCCTGGGATGCCACATGTCATAAGCTGTTCATTTGCTTGCTTAGCTTGGTAGCCGTTCCAAACAAAGCACCAGTCGATGTGGTCCGTCATCTCATTGCTTATTTGGCCAGTAGAGCGCTTCTCTTGCCTTCCTCAGCTAGACTCAATTCCTCTATGGCTTGCATGGATGCACTTCAGCATCATTTTTCTTATCACCTTAGGGTTAATGACTGCTTCTTTTGTACAAGATGTTCTTCTTCGGCTATCACTTCATCTCTATATATCTAATACTCTATTACAGCTACAGTATACCCTCATAAGGTCATCCTTTCATCACTTCTTCCTGATGTCCTTAGAGATTTGTACCTTTTTTTTTACTTTGCTTGATTTGAGCAAGGTACTTGCCTTTCAGAGTCAAAGTCTCCCCTGAGTTAATGACACTGTCACGCCCCTCATAATCTAATACAGTTCTATTAGGTCTCCACTTAATGCTCTCTGCTCCAAAGAAAACAACCCGGGCCTATCCAGTCTATCTTCATAGCTAATCTGCTCCACCCCAGACAACATCCTGGCGAATCTCCTCTGCGTCCCTTCCACTGCAATCATATTCTTCCTATAGCGTGAAGACTAGAACTGCACACAATACTCCAGCTGTGGCCTCGTCAAAGTTCTGTACAGCTCCAACATGACCTCCCTGCTCTTAAAATCTATGCCACAACTCATGAAGGCAAGCATCCCGTATGCCTTCTTAACCACTTTATTAACCTATCCTGCCACCTTCAGGGATCTGTGGACAAGAACCCCAAGATCGCTCTGTTCCTCTATGTGTCCTAGTGTCCTGCCATTCATTGACTACTCCCTTGTCTTGTTCCTTCTTCCAAAGCACATCACCTCACACTTATCATGGTCCATTTGCTACTGTCCTGCCCATCAGACCAATCTGTCTATAGTCAATCTGTGTGTCATTCGCAAGCTTATTTATTGTTCCCTCCACATTCTCATCTAGATTGTTTACATATGTCACAAACAATAAGGGACCTAGCATTGATCCCTTTGGTATGCTACTAAACACTAGGTTCCAGTCACACAAACAGCCTTCTATCACCACCTGTCACTTAATTTTGGATCCAACTTGCCAAGTTATCCTGGATACCGAGAGATTTTACCTTCTTTATCAGTTTCTTACATTTCCCACCTTGTCGAAGGCCTTACTGACATCTGTATACATTGCAGCAACTGCACTGCCCTCATCTACAAAGTCACCTCCTTGAAAAATTTCATCAGACATATTAGCATGGCTTTGTCAGGGAGGTCATGCCTAACTTTCCTCTCTAAATGGAGATTAATTTACTCCTTCAGAATTTGCGCCACATGTTTTCCTACCACTGATGTGAGACTCACTGATCTATAGTTCCTTGATCTATCTCTACAACCCTTCTTGTAAAGTTGAACCATGTTAGTTGACTTCCAGTCCTCTGGCAGCAGCCCCCCACCAACGAAACGCCCTCCCGGCCTGATGTGATGATCTCCCACCCCGGTGTGGCAGTCCTTTGGCCCAGTGTGGCCTCAGCGTGGACTTACAACCTCGAGGTGATTCCAGAGTGGTCTTTCAGCCTCGAAGTGAAGCTGACATGGACTGGAGGCTAGGTGCCTGCATGGACTGGGTTTGAAGGACAGTTGTTCTGAACCTTTTATTTCTCTATTTTCTAATTTATTCCTATGATCTGTAAAGCTAGACTTTTTACTTATTTATTTTTCTAAGATTTTCCCCCCTAAGAACATGAAGAATATGTACCTAGGTACCTTGTACCTAAGATGATGCCTAAGATGGTGTTTCTCTGCTCCTCAGTGAGATCCAGGTTGCAATACAGCTTGCAGCACTCTTTCACCAGCACTGGTAGCAGCATTGCTACATTTGCTCAGATATTTTTAAAAAATTCATTCTGTAGCTTTTTCATAGTTTTGCCATTTAAAGTTGAAAAAATTCCAATTCTGTATCATATCTCCTTTCATGTCTAGAGGGAGTGGAAAATGCACTGCCATTTTAACTCACACAGTAAATCAGAGCTACAGACAATTATTTTAAATTAATTTTTCCTTGCTGTTTCTTTCAGTAGCTGACCCTCTTACAGCTCTGAAAATCCACACATCCCTAACACCGTGTGCCAAGTGATGCACATTCAATGGCTACATGCAAACGCACTTATAGCAGAGATAGCAGTCACATGACTAGAGCAAACCAGCCAGCACACTGAGTACAATTTCATTCCTCTAATCACATTATTCAATCTTTCACTAATTATCAAGAAATTATATACAATGAATTCTAAATACTTTCCTTCAGTGTGACTAGGCTGTGGTCTGAAACTCCCTCCTAATGGCATTATGGATCAACCTACAGCACATGGACTGCAGCGGTTCAAGAAAACAGCTCATCACCACTTCTGAAGGGAAATTAGAGGTGGGTAATAAATGCTGGCCCAGACAGCAACACCCACATCCCAAGAATGAATTAAAAGTGATGTACATGAAGTAACCATTCAGCCCCTCAAGCCTGTTTAGGCAGTGAGATCATGGTCTCACTGTAATTTAACTCGTGCTACAAATCTTGTCTCCATACCTTTTTACTGTCTAACCACACTGAACTTTGCTTTATCCCGCTTTCTATTACCTCCATTATGCTATTTTAATCACATGCACCAAATGTTGCTACTTGCAGGACAGTGACTCAATGGCTGGCACTGCTGCCTTGCAGCGCCAGGGACCTGGGTTCAATTCTACCCTCAGGTCACTGTCTGTGTGGAGTTTGCACGTTCTCCCCAGGTCCATGTGGGTTTCCTCCGGGTGCTCTGGTTTCCTCCCACAGTCCAAGATGTGCAGATTAGGTGGATTGGCCATGCTAAATTGCCCAAAATGGCAAAGATGTGCAGGCTAGCTGAATTAGCCATGGGAAATGAAGGGTTACAGGGATAAGGAGGTGGATGCTCTTTGGAGAGTTGGTGTGGACTTGATGGGCCGAGTGGCCTGCTTCCACACTGTAGGGATTCTAACTGGTTATGCACATTACCATTAAACAATAACCAACAGGTAGAAATGTTTGAAGACTTATTCAACTTGAAGCTTCGTAATGTACTTGACGAGCAGATACTACACACTAAATTGCAGTCTTCTGCAACTAACACATTTCAAGTTAGTTAAAACAATACCATGAAAATGTAAGTTTTACCAAGGAGAAAAGAAAATGGTTTCGATCAAACTTTCAAAATGTCAGACATATAATGGTTCTTTAAAGATACTAAACACAACTAAACAAAATATCTTCAGACCTCATGACAAAATTAGCAAACCTCATACAGTACCATAAATAGTAGCTGCTGTGAGATATGTCAGGTGGCAGATGTTGAACATCTCAATTCTTATATCTTTCCAGATACCCTGTGTAGGAAAGGACGGACCCCAGTCCCAGCTGAAAGAGCACTGCTCCTAAAAGTAAATGCATAATGATGTTAAATAAGTAAAAAGCATTCATTTTACTGCATTTATTAACTGTGATCTCAAGAATCATATTCATTCAGTGTAAAAGAGTTAGAGCAGTATCTAAAGCACAGGAACAGGTTATTTGAACGTTTGAGTAATTACTAGTAGAATGACAAGATAAAACTGTGAGTGTTTTTTTAAAAGTTGTAATAAGTGGTTCACTTTCAATTACTGAGTGATGGAAAATATTAAATAAATATCTGTTTACAAATATTGTCTGAAAGGCATTTTCTCCTAAAATTAGTTAGAGAGAAGAAGGTTAAGAGGTGACTTAATAGAGACATACAAGATCATCAGAGGATTAGATAGGGTGGACAGGGGGAGCCTTTTTCCTCGGATGGTGATGGCTAGCACGAGGGGACAAAGCTTTAAATTGAGGGGTGATAGATATAGGACAGATGTCAGAGGTAGGTTCTTTACTCAGAGAGTAGTAAGGGCGTGGAATGCCCTGCCTGCAAAAGTAGTAGACTCGCCAACTTTAAGGGCATTTAAATGGTCATTGGATAAACATATGGATGATAATGGAATAGTTTAGGTTAGATGGGCTTCAGATTGGTTTCACAGGTTGGCGCAACATCGAGGGCCGAAGGGCCTGTACTGCACTGTAATGTTCTATGTTCTATGTTCTAGTGCCTCTAACTAAAATGATTTCACTGTAGCCATACTTGGAGCTAGTATGTAATTTCCATCGGAGAATACTGGAACCACAGAATAGGATGTTTATTCTCTGCTGAGAATGGGAAGAAACAAGCTATCTGGGCAACGTTCTTATGAAAACAGTGAATTTAGAACCCTCACTCAACACCTCTGAAGCTCCACACATGCACACATACAACAAGATCACAACTGAAGAGGAGAATGTAAACTAATGTCAGCAACCCACCCAGACAAGCCGGGACAATGTGATTGTTATAAGCTAGTCAGAGGTCTTGGCTTTAGCCAACATTAAGCCATTTCTATTTGTTCTAATGGATAGCGAAAGGTTTATGGCATTATCTGAAGTAGTGCAGAGAGACCACAGTGCATTGGTTGATATCCTTTCTTCCATCACCAAATTTAGATACCTTTGTGATGTTTGAAAAAACTTTGCAAATATGAAAAATGGCTGCTTGGTTTCACCTACATAACATGTGACTCCATCTTAAAATAAGAGACTTCAGTGAAGTTCTTTAGGATGCTTCTGTCAAATTTGCTAGGATGCTAAATAAATGCACATTTTTTCACATATATAGAGGTATACAGCACAGAAACAGTCCCTTTGGTCCAACTCGTCTATGCTGACCAGGTTTCCTAAACTGAACTAGTCTCATTTGCCTGTGTTTGGCCCATTTTGGCCCAAACCCCTCCTGTCCAAATATCCGTCCAAATGTATTTTAGATGTTGTAATTGTACCCACCTCTACCGCCTCCTCTGACATCTTGTTCCATACATGCACCACCCACTGCGTGAAAAAGTTGCTGCTCAGGTCCCTTTTAAATCTTTCCCCTCTCACCTTAACCTATGCCATCTAGTTTTGGACTCCCCTACTGTGGGGAGAAGACTTTGGCTATTCAACTTATCACCCTCATGATTTTATACCTCTATAAGGTCACCCCTCAATCTCCTATGCTCCAGGAGAAAAATTTCCAGCCTGTACAGCTCCTCCTTACAACTAAAAGGTGCTAAAAGAAGGCACAAAATGTCCTTGACAAGTAGGGTTAAGGAGAATCCCAAGGCATTATATAAAAGTATATTTGTGTAAATGGAAACTAGGGAAGGGGTACAGTCCACTCAAGGACAAAGGAGGGAAGTTATCCATGGAGCCAGACGAAGTGGGTGAGGTCCTTAATGAGTAAATTGCATTGGTATTCACTGAGAAGGACATGGCGGATGTTAAGATTAGGTTGGGGTATGTTGATATTAAGGAGGGGAAAGTAGTGTTGGGTGTCTTGAAAAATATGAAGGGTAGATACATTCTCAGGGCCTGATGAGATCTATCCCAGGATACTGAGGGAGGCAAGGCAGAAGATTACTGGGGCGTTGAAGAGATCTGTTTAGCCAACGGCGGAGTCTCAGGAGACTGAGAAAAGCCAAATGTTGTCCTTTGTTTAAGAAGAGCAACAGAGACAATCCAGGAAATTACAGGCCAGTGAATTTTACACCAGTGGTGGGGAAATTATTGGAGAAGATTCTTAGGTATGGGATTTATTTGCATTTGGAAAAGAATGGACTTATTTGGGATAGTTAGCATTGCTTTGTGTGGGGGAGGTCTTGTCTCACAAATTTGATTGAGTTTTTTTGAGCAAGTGACAAAGATGATTCATAAGAGAAGGGAAATGGATGTTGTCTACATGGACTTTACTAAAGCATTTGACAATGTCCCTCATGGTATGCTGGTCTTGAAGATTAAGTCACATGGGATCTGGAGTGATGAGGTAAATTCAATACAAAATTGGCTTGGTCATAAAAGACAGAGGTTAGTTGTGGAGGGGGGTGGTTTCTGATTGGAAGTTAGTGACGAGTGGCATTCTGAAAGTTCAGTACTGGAACCTTTATATCTAAATGATTTAGCTGCTCTGATTAGTAGGTTTGCAGACCACATGGAAATTGGAGGAGTTGTGGATAGTGAGGAAGTTTGTCAAACAATACAGCCGGGTAGAGATCAGGGGAAAGCTGGGGGGCAGATGGAGTTTTATCCGGACAAATGTGAGACAATGCACTTTGGGAGGTCAAATGTAATAGGAAAGTACACAGTAAATGGCAGGACCTTTGGGAGCATTGATATACAGAGGGATCTTGGGGTCAAAGTCCATAGCTCCCTGAAAGTGGCAAGACAAGTGGATAAGGTGGTAAAGAAGGCATACGGCATGCTTGCCTCCTTTGGTTGGGACACAGAGTATAAAATTTGATAAGTCATGTTGCCGCTCTACAAAATGTTAATTAGGCCACATTTGGAGTATTGTGTGCAGTCCTGGTTGCCAGACTATGGGAGGATTTGGAGAAGATCCAGAAGCAGTTTACCAGGATGCTTCCTGGATTGGAGTTTATTAGCTATAAGGAGAGGTTAGATAAACCTGGATTGTTTTCATTGGAGCATCGGAGGCTGAGGGACAACCTGATAGAAGCATATAAAATTATGACAGGCATGGATAGGGTGGACAGTCAGCGTCTTTGCCCCAGGTTGGAAATGTCAAAAACTAGAGGATACAGGTTTAGGGTGAGAGGGGTAAAGTTTAAAGGAGATGTGCAAGGCAGTTTGTTTTTTAAAAGCACAGAGGGTGGTATGTACTTGGAACACACTGTAACAAGGGGAAGTGGTAGAAGCAAGTATGATAACAACATTTAAAAGGTAATTAGACAGACACGTGAACAGGTAGGGAACAGAGGGATATGGACCAAGTGCAGACAGATGGGATTAGTTTAGAATGGTATCAAGGTCGGTGCAGAAATGGTGGGCCAAAGGGCATGTTCCTGTGCTGTACTGTTCTGTGTGGGAAGTGTTAGTTTCAATAGCAACATTAAACTTGTGACAGGGAATGAGAATCAATTCACAGTTGCTGTATGTTCACGTATTAGGGATCAGATTGCTTTCCCCAAATAAATACTAAAGAATTTTCCAAGAAGCTTAGAGCTTCTATATGTAGCTGTAAAACAAATCCCAAGGCCCTTAAAAGCACTTCCAGTTGTGCTTCTATAAATAAGTCTGGAATAATCAGCCCTTCCCTCTTCATCCCTTAAATATCATCAATGGGAATCATGAAGTGCCTGAGATGAGGTGAAATGATCAATTTCTGCACAGCACTTAAATGATTCCAGTTCCTGATTCCTCAATAGCTCCATGTCCTGTACAAAATATATACAAACACAAAAGGAGCATAATCAGACTATAGCTACTCAATGCCATGGCTAATCTTCTATCTCAGCTATACCTTTCCACAGTTTCTAAATCCCTTAACCTCCAAAACTTACTGATTGAATTTTGAATGAACTCAATGTCTGAGCATCCACACTTCTCTAATATAGAGAATGCAATAGGTTCACAAAACTCTGAATGAAGAAACTACTCCTCATCTTAGTGCTAATGCAAACCCTTACACTGAGACTGTGACACATAGTTCTAGATTCACCAGCCAAAGGAAACAGCCATTCAGCCCCTATCATTTCTAGTCACTTAAGATTTTATACATCTCAATCAGACCATCTCATATTCTTCTAAACTTCAAGGGACATATAATACCTTCACCCAGAGTTGTTTAAGTGACTTACTGTTACCCAATATGTTTCAAAAGTTCATCATGTTTAGCTGTGTTCATTATTTTGGTACGAGATTGCTAACTGAAATTATTATATGCAGGAATTAAGACTGAAGTTCAGGATTGACCTTTGAAGTTCCAGAGCTTACAAAGGAGGTCTGGCAAAGTTTGGAGTTAATCACAAGAAACCAGATAGCCTTTAACAACCTGATAAGGTGTTTGAAGACTTTGTAGGAGGAGTCATAGTTTGAAAGAGGAAGGGGATTTTAGTCTAAAATATCTATGGTTTACATCAAAAAGTATTATAAAATAAAAGTAATTAGATAAGACTTTTTTTATTTATTAGTGGTTGATTGATTCTTGTACAACATGTTTTAAACCATGAAACCTTGTTGCTATACTCTTCAGTAAATTACTTAATCTCTTGGAGATGGTGACAATGTAAACAAGAACAGAAAAAGTGAAATCAGAAAATAAAGTGTTACATTTCTAAGAGGTGCATATTATATATTTGATGCATTCCAACATCTAAAAGTTGTATCAAAAATTAATTGATGTGGTAAGCAGCTTTGCAAAACCAATTATATCTGATCAAGCAGGTGCACAAACAGAACTTTAACAGCCTGCAAAGGAACTTCTAACCGTAACACACAGCTTTTCTCAAAAAGGCTCATTAAAAAATTTGATACAATCAGTCTAGCTTACAGCTTAGGTTTAAACAATAATTCATTTTTTAAAAATTATTGAATGACTACAGCACAGAAGAAGGCCATTGGCCCTATAGAAGGTTAAACTTCATGCAGTGACACTCCACCACACATTCCCCTTTTCAGATAATAAGCCAATTCCTACTTGAATACCTTAACTGAATCTGCGTCCGGCACTCTGATTGCATCCCTAGCGCTCCTTTAATGTTGCTGGGCCAAAATCCTGGAACTCCCTCCTTAACTGCGCTATGGGTCTAGCTAACCAAAACAGATTGCAGTGGTTCACGAAAGCAGCTCACCATCACCTTGCAAGGGCAACTAGTGACATCCACATTCCATGGACTAACAAAAATAAAATTCCACACCCTAATCACTTACTGCACAAAAAAAAAGTTTTCCTCATGTCACCATTGCTTCTTTCATCAATTAGCCTACTGGCTGAACCAATGAGTTTTTTTTTCACATAGGTTTATCATAACTTCCTTGCTTTTGCAGTCTATGCCCTTGTTGATAATGCCCAGGGTCCCGCATCTTTATTAACTGTGCTCTCAATTTCCTGCCATCTTCCCTAAAATCTATATCTAACATTTCACACCGGAAGTACAATTTCTCTGCAATTCTTCTAAAACAGTAACGTTGATTAAATCATTTATTTGTCCATGGGATGTGGGGATTACAAACTAAGCCTGTATTTACTGACTATTCCCAAATGCCTCAAGCTGCCTTCTTGAACCATTGAATAGTGGTTTGAGAAAGCTTAGTGGCTTGCAGGGTTGTTGGGCTGTAGGTGAGTTATGCTAACTATCCAAGTTAATCTGCACAGATTCTCCTTGTGTTCACAGGTATAAACGATTATAAACCTGTACTTGAGATTCTTGTGGTCGATCATTTGAAGTAACTATAACAGTGCAAAATTTCTTCAGTTCAGTGATTTCTAAATAATTGCAGTCCAGGACACATTTTATCAGCACATGCTGTGAAAGCAACTTCTGATCTCTGCATTTAAAGGTGCATGTGCAGACTCCAGAAGTAATTGTCAAATCCAAAGGAGTAACAATGAATATTCCTGACAGTTTCACCATCATTACCACCACAAAGTTCAGTCAAAAACAAAGTGCTCTCAAATGACAAATTTTTTGGGTCATACCTTTCTGATAAAATTGACGTGACATTCTCCTCTTTGTTGTAAAGGAGGGCATTCAGGAGGCACTGGGTATTTGTTATGTTGTGAACTCTGCTGTGCTGCATAAGAGATTGCAGATAAAAAGCGGACTTCGATGAAGTTTCTTTCTCTGATCACATCAGTAGAATCAAAGGTCTGAAGTAATTTAAAAAAAAGAAGAAAATCAAAGACTTGTGAAAATGTTAGACTCACATTTCAGAAACAGACCAGCCTTTACAATTTCTATTTTAAAGTAGGCAGATATTTTTGTCGACAATAAATGCAAACTTATTCTCTTTAAAGTAATGAAACTAAACCATTTGAACAAAACAAGAAACAATATGGGAAATTTCACTTGTTACCAAGTTCAATGAAGAGGAATCTGGGAAGCAGCGATCACGTCATGTTGGATCCACTTACAGCGATATCTTTATGATGCCCTGCCCACGATTGTGTTGTGTGGGCCTGGACACTCGTGTTGATCTGAGATGGCATTGCAAGCAAGCCTAAGATCTTCATCAAACGCACATTTCCAAACGTGAAGGAGGTTGTCATTAAACAGCAGCCAAATACAGTAACCATGGCTAGTTTTTAAAAACACCTTCATTAAATGGTTTTATTGCGTGGAGTAATAATTAACAGACACAGGTTCATATCTCACCACTGGGAGAATTTAAATTCAATTGATTACATAAATCTGGAAGAGTAAAAACTACTCTGATTATTAAGGCTCTGTTTCTATGCTGTAAGAGTCTATGGGTAACAATGAAGTTATTACATTATTGTAAAAACCCATTTGGTTCACTTCAGTCCTTTAGGGAAGAAAATCTGCCATTCTAACCCAGTCTGGTATGTATACAGCACCAAGCTAACAGCAATGTAGTTCACTAACTTCCCTCCCGATCACGAAAACAATAAGACCATGAGAAATAGGAACAGGAGTAGGCTGCTCAGCCCTTCAAACCTGCTCTGCCATTCAATAAGATCACGGACAATCCAACACTCCCCACCTCCACTTTCCTGTCCTTTCTCCATAACCTTTGATTCCTCTACTCAATTCACTAAACTTTCAATTGCTCTAATGAACACTATGTTTATTTCACTCACGCTTTAAAACAATGGCCACTCCCAACACAACTATGAAGGGTGGGTGGAGGGGGAGAAGAACGATAGGGTCAGAAAATGGAAGGAAGAAAGATCAGAAACGGAAGAAGAATTGGGAGGGACTGAAGTGTCATAGGTGAGGAAAAATAACAGAGAGCAGTGGTAAAGGTAGGGAAGGGGATGGGGAAAGGGAAATTCAGTGAGGTGGCAAACTGCTGTAGCAGTAGGGCGTGATGCACAGACATAGAAGAACCACAAAGTCAGTTTAGAAGGCAACATAATAGTAGTCAGGTTAAGGCACAAGGGAGCATGACAAGGCTGCACAGCTTTGATTTCAATGCAAGGAATCTTTCAAGTAAGGCAGAGGAGTGGAGGGTATTGATGAATACCTAGGAGTAAAGTATCATTGCCACTAGAGAGACATAGTTGAGAGAGATAAATGGAACTGTCAGCTTAATATTCCAGTGTAGAGTAGCTGCAGGCAAAACAGGGATGGTGATGTGTAAACAGGTGTTGATGTCACAATATTTATCAAGGTGTCAATTACAGTAAAAAGGCGGGATGATATAGAAACATGGAGCACAGAAGAAGCTCTTTGGCCCATCAAGTCTGTATTGCCAAATATACACGAAATCTACACTAGCCCCACGTTCCAGTCCTCAACTCATAGCCTTGAATGTTACAACACTTCATGCGCTCATCCAAGTACTTTTTAAAGGTTTTGAGGTTTCCCACCTCAACTACTCTCCCAGGCAATGCATTCCAGACCCCTACCACCTTCGTGGTGAAAGTCCCCGCTAGACCTCCTACCTTTCACCTTAAGACTGTGACCCCTCATTATTGACCCTTCAACTAAGGGTTAACTAAGGGGTTGGTTATATGCAGTGGCACAGTGGCTCGGTGGTTAGCACTGTTGCCTCATGGCATCAGGGACCTGGGTTTGATTTCAGCCTTGGGTGACTGCCTGTATGGAGTCTGCACAGTCTCCCCATGTCTGCGTGGATTTCTGCCAGGTTCTCCAGTTTCCACCCACAGACCAAAGATGTGCAGGTTAGGTGGATTAGCCATGCTAAATTGTCTATAGTATCTAGGGACATGCAAGCTAGGTGGATTAGCCCTGGTAAACGAAGGTTCGCGGAGATTTGGGAAGGGGGAATGGGATGCTCTTTGGTGGGTTGGTGCAGACTTGATAGGTCGAATGGCCTCTACCTGTACTGTACAGATTCCATGATTCTATATTCACCATGTCCATGCCCCTCAATTTTATGCACCTCTATAATGGTGAGAGTGCAGGGCAACATGCTTCTAATAAGATGAAGGGTGGGATCAAAAAATCCAGAGAACCCTGGATATCAAGGGATGTTCAGGATTGGATTACAAAAAAGGAAGCTATCGCAGATACCAAAGGCCCATAACAGCAGCTGTCCCAGAGGAATACAGAAAGCGAGGGCGATCGTTCAAAAAGAAATTAGGAGATCTAACAGGGGTCATGAAAAACCCTAGAACTACTCCGGTCAATCTTTCCAATGCCTTCATATCCTTCCTAAAGTATGAGATCCCAAAACAGGCACAATACTCCAGATGTAGCTGAACTAATGATTTATAAAGGTTCACAGTAACATCTTGGATTTTGTCATTTATGCCCATATTTGTAAAATATAGGATCCGTTATGCCGCAACTACCTTTTCAAGCCGCTTTCAATGATTTGTGTGTATATACTCCAAGGACAGACTCCCTCTGCTCCTACAGCCCTTTAGAATTGCATCATTTATTTTAAAAAAAAATAAAAATCTGTTTTTCAAATACTCTGGAGAAAGAGACAGCTAAATCAATGTACATTCAGATCATTTTCACTTTGTGCTTAATATCTAGCGTCTTAACAAAAAAAAAAATTTGCAGCAAAACTAAATTATTTTCCATTGGATGGGGAAGGGGGAATTAAACTTCAGAATGAGTGAGCTGCAGCTGCTCCCCTTTGTTGAGACTCTGCTGATTATAAGAACTCCCACACCAGCTGGGAAACTGTACAATCTAAGGGCAGAGCACAATAAAATGATGGAGTTGTCAATGCCATTCTGCCAACATACTACACAAAATATCGAGAGATGTGTCTTTTTGGTGCTGGGAAACTCTTGTTGAAATAAAGCTATTCTCAGATTGCCAGATGTATACGCATAACTGGAATAAATTTCAAAATGACAAGTAAACACAACCAGCAAACTTAGACAGATAGAATCAGACTGCATGACTTTCAAACTTTTCTTTAACTAGGGTACAATATCAGTGAAATGTCCACACCATTTTTTTTTATTCACTCATGGAAAGCGGGCATCACCGGGCCAGCACTTATTGCCCATCCCTAACTGCCTTTGAGTGGTGGTGGTAAGCTGCCTTCTTGAACCACTGCAGTCCTTTGCTGTAGGTTGACCCACAATACCATTAGGGAGCGAATTCCAGGATTTTGACTCAGCAACAGTGAAAGAATAACAATATCTTTCCAAATCAGGACACTGAGTGGTTTGGAAGCTTCAGAATTCCTAGTCTCTGATCTGCTCTTGTGGCCATTGTATTCATATAGCGAGTCCAGTCGAGTTTCTGTCAATGGCAACATCCATTGTATTCTTGCTAGACTATTAATCCAGGGACCCAGATAACATTCTGAAGACCTGGGTTCGAATCACACCATGGCAAATGGTGGAAATGAATTTAATAAAAATCTGAATTAATAACCGTGGAACTCTCTAACCATGGCTGATCATCAGAAAAAACCATCTGGCTCACTAACGTCCTTAAGGGAAAGAAACTGCTGTCCTTACCTGGACTGGCCTACATGTGACTCCAGAACCACAGCAGTGTAGCTGACTCTTGACTGCCCTCTGGGTAATAGGGAAGGGCAATAAACGCTGGCCCAACCAGTCACACATTCCATGAATGAAATTTAAAAATCCAAAAAAAGTGGAAAAGAAATATTTTTAAATTATTAAGAAATAAGAAACCTATAGTTCTAGCGTTAAATGAGTTTTGTAAAGTTTAACTCACATATCGACTAAACATGTTGTTTGATGTCCCAACTGTGATATTGTTGATAAGGACTGTTGCAACAGTATCGAGTCCATCACAAACTAGATTTATTCTCTTCCATTTACTGTTATAACAAAATGATGCAGGTATTAGTTTGAAAAATCTGATTTTGTCTTATTAAAGTAAGGTCCCTGTTGCCCCATTTGAACCAGGTTTCAAACTTAAACAGTTCCCCAATGTTTTAAAGTTAGCTTAGCAAATCAAAATCCAATCACACACCTGCATTTCATGGTAAATCTGAACAACAGCGGGGGGAAAAGGGCAGTAAAATTAGATTAAAACCAATCACAACAGAAATTAAACCAGTACTGTACCCCAAAAATACATAGAGCAAGTAGCCTTTTCGGATAGTTTCATTTCAATGATTCTACATCTAACTAGTTAAACCAGGAGGTGGAGGATGACACTCAGCCCTTTGAACCTGCCTAGCCTTTTGATAGGAACATGGCTGACTTGACTGTAGCCTCAACTCCACATTTCAGCTGAACTCCAATAACCAAAGACTCCCGTATGTTTCCCTTTAGAATTGAATTTCGTATTTTATATTGCCTCTCTTGCTCTTTCTGCCGAAATGTAAAAGGTGCTAAATAATTATCTGTCTCTTAAAATTCTCCGAAGAAAAGACAGCAGAAGTGGATTCTAAATGATAGAGTTTAAAAAAATGTTAACGTAAAAACATTAACACAAATAAACCTCCAAAGTTCCAAACCATATGTATCAGCTTGAAATGCTGCATGATGCAGTCAATGGACTTGGGGGCTGGGAAACAGAATTTGTGTTTAGGGTCAATTAAGACAAAGGCTTCACTCTCCACAATGTTGAGCTGGAGAAATTTGAAATCACTCAAAATTGGACATCAGTCAGATTGCCTATCAAAGCAAAGGAAGTGGAAGGCAGGAATAAGGAGATAAGAGAGCTAACTGGATACTAGAGAAACCACTATGCAGACATCTATGAAGTCTAATGGCCAGATTGTGACACTCCATGTAAAATTTTGAGGCGTAACACACTGCAGGTATTCTTTACAAACATAAGGTTTATAAGCAGGAATAGGTCTCGCTGTCCATTGAGACTGCTCCGCCATTGAATAAGATAATAATTATACCGTATTCCCAACCATCTCCAATGACCTTTCAGCACACTGCTTAACAAGAATCCATCCACCCCACTGCAAAAATATTCAAAATCCTTCCTGATCAACAGGGACATCCCCTCCTCTTTTACGTTCTTCCCTGTCTTACATGAAGACCCTTTATTCTGGAATGTTGAGCTGCCAATCCTGTCCCTCTCTTGACCAAGTCTCAGTATTAGCAATGACATCATCTTTCCCATCATATGCCCTTAACTCAACTGCCTTGTTCATCAGGCTCCTTGCATTAAAATAATTACCATCCAACCTTGTAAAACTCCCTTGTGCCTTAACTAGTCCATAATTTCTCTGCCTTCTTGACTCCCTTGTTGTCTGTTCTAAGTTTGGCCATTCATTTCCACCTACTGAATGTTCTCTCCAGATCCCATCTCCTCCGTGCAAGTTACTTTAAACCAGCCTCTACAGCACTAGCACAGCTCTCTGAAGGATGCTGGTCCTATTCTGGTTCAGGTGTAACCCATTCTGCTTTGTATAGGTCCACAGTCCCCAGAAACAATCCCAATGTCCCAGAAATCTAAAGCCTTCCCTCCTGCACCTTATCTCCAGCAAAATTTTCATCAGAAATAGGCTCATATTCCAAACTCACTACTATGTGGCATTGGAAGTAATCCAGAGATTACTATATTTAATAGAATCGTACAGCACAGAAACAGAACCTTAAGTCCAACTCATCCATGCTGACCAAGTTTCCCAAAATTAGACTAGTTCCATTTGCCTGCATTTAGCCCAAATTTCTCTAAACTTTTCCAATCCACGTACCTGTTCAAATGTCTTTTAAATGTTGTAACCATACCTGCATCTACCATTTCCTCAGGCAGCTCATTCTATAAACGAACCACCCTCTGTATGAAAAAGTTGTCCTTTAGGTCCCTTTTAAATCTTTCTCCTCTCACTTTAAAATTTTTTCCTCGAATTTTGAACTCCCCTATCCTAGGGAAAAGACTTTTGCTATACACCTTATCTATGCCCCTCATGATTTTATGAACATCTATAAGGTCACCCCTCAACCTCCTATGCTTCGATGAAAAAAGTCCCCACCTATACAGCCTCTCATCATTACTCAAACCCTCCAGTCTTGGCAATAACTTTGTAAATCTTTTCTGCATACTCTCCAATTTAATAATGTCCTTCCTATGACAGGGTGAACAGAACTGTAAACAGTTCTCCAAAAGTGGCCTCACCAACTTCCTGTACAACTACAACATGATGTCCCAACACCTATATACCATGGTCTCACCAATGAAGGCAAGCATGCTCTCTTTACCACCCTGTCTACCTTTGATGCAACTTTCAGGGAACAATGCACCTGAACCCCTAGATCTTTCTGGTCAACAACACTGCCTAGGGCCCTACCATTAACTGTGTAAATCCTGCCCTTGTTCGTCTCACCAAAATGCAACATCTCGCATTTTTCCAAATTAAACTCCATGTGCCATTCCTCAGCCCAATGGCCCAACTGGTCAAGATCTCTTTGAACTCTTAGATAACTTTCTTCACTGTCCAATATACCACACATTTTTGGTGTCATCCACAAACGTACTAACCATGTTTCCTATATTCTCATCCAAATTGTTTATATAAATGACAAACAACAATGGACCCAGCACCAGTCCCTTTGGAACACTGCTAGTCACAGGTCTCCTGTCCGAAAAACAACCCTTTACCCACCCTATATCTGCTACCATCAAACCAATTTTGTATCCAATTGGCAAGCTCTTCCTGGATCCCATCTGATCTAACGTTACTAAGCAGTCTACCATGAGGAATCTTCTCAAAGGCCTTACTGAAGTACATATAGACAACTTTACTGCTATGCCCTCATCAATCTTCTTTGTCCTCTTCAAAAAACTCAATCATGTTTGTGAAACACGATTTTCCACATTGACTAACTAATCCTTGCCATTCCAAATGCATATGAATCCTGTCTTTCAGAATCCCCTCCAACGACTTACCCACCACTGACGTCAGACTCACTGGTCTATAGTTCCCGGGCTTCTCCCTGCAGCCTCTCTTAAATAAAGGCACAATATTAGCCACCCTCTAGTCTTCTGGCACCTTACCTGTGGCTGTAAATGACACAAGTAACTCTGCTACAGGCACGCAATTTCTTCCTGAGTTTCCCACAACGTCCTGGGATATACTTGATCAGCCCTCCTATCTCCCTAAATTCTATCTTCAGACCTCATCCCTTTATATACCTGTGTCATTGGTACTTAAGTGTCTGTTTGCGCTCCCGCTTCTGCATGCCCTGTAGCCATTCAGTGATGTCCCTGACAAGGAGGCAACGTACCACCCTGCAGTCTTCTTTTTGTGGCTGCAAAAATGCTTCTATTCCCCTTACAATTGAATCCTCCCCTGCCATTCTTCTTCCTCCCCTCTTGTGCAGCAGAATCACCCATAGTGCTGTGGTCTCCGATCAGAGCTGGAGGCCCAAGCGGACTTGAAGGTTGTTGGACTGGGAAATGGTGGGGGCAGTCAGTGGCTTGCAAGCCCGGGCAGACCACATGTGGAAGTCCCCTGAGCTGATCTGACTGCAATGCTCATATTTTAAAATTTATTCTCAGTTTTCTAACTTATACTATGAACAACTGTAAGTAATATAACGTTTTTCCTTTCTTTTTCCCTTTATTTCTGTGATTTGTATCTAAGATCTGTACCTAGGTATATGGGGCAACATTGTAAACTTTTCACTGCACTTCCGTACTTGAGTACATGTGACAATAAAGAATATTCTAATTCTAATTTGATTCCCACTGCCTTCCCCTGTAGTCATCTCCCCAAACAGTTCCAAAATGGTATGTCTGTTAGAAAGAGAGATGGCCACAGGAGACACATGCACTATCTGCCTTCCTCTACTCTGCCTGATGGTCCCTACCCTTTCTGCCTACTTAATCTGCACCTGCAGTGTGACCACGTCATTGAACGTGCTACCCATGTCTTGCTCAGCATTGTAGATGTTACATGGTGAATTCACTCACAGCTCTAGCTCCAAAATGAACATCACCAGTAGCTACAGCTAGAGACACTTCCTGTACACACAGCCGTCAGAGACAACTGAGGTTTCCATGATTTGCCACATAGCACAGGAGGAGTATTTCACAAGTGCAAGCTCTGCTGCCATGACTTCCCTTAAGCCCCTCAGTTACTCCCTTTCATAAGAATAAAGGAATTATGCTTACGTGAGAATACTATTCATTTACTTCTCTTACCCTACTTTGCTTACTTACATTAGGAACATAGAAACTGGAGGAGCCCATTGAGCCTGTTCTGCCATTCAATGAGATCATAGTTGATTGTGGCCTAACTCCATGGCCTTCAGTCCATATCCCTATAGCTATGTTCAATTTTATCTATCTCTGATGCAGCATCCAATGTCATTTGTGGAAGAGAGTTCCAAACATTTGTCTGTTACTTTATTACACTGTCCCTGACTTTAATTTAGTCCAATTGTTTCTCAGTTAATCCCTTCTTCCAGATAAAAATACAAGTGCAGGAAATGAGGATTTTTAGTGGTAGTTATGTTGGTGGCGACTTGATGGGCCGAAAGGCCTTGTCTGCGCTATATGAACCTGTGTCTGTGAATATTTTAAAATCCCAAATCAATCAACACACGACTTCCCTGTGATGTCACTGCTCGATTTCTTTTCCAACCCAGCAACCCCCTCTCCAAATCCACTTTATCAAGACTCCTTCAAGACCCCGCCCTTTAATCAAGTCACCCACTTAGTCTTCCCAACTCCATAAGATACTCCAGTTCTGAAGAAGAGTCACTGGACTCAAACATTAACTCTGGTTTCTCTCCAAAGATGCTGCCAGACCCGTTCAGTTTCTCCAACAATTTCTGTTTTTGTTCCAGAAGATAGAAGTCTCGCTTGCCCAACCTACCCTCATAAAACAACCTGCTAAAACTTCTATGTACAAGAATCTAATCATCAATAAATAGATTACTAAGTCACAAAAGATGGCATGCTACTGGAGTTACCAGTCCCAGCAACCACTGATTTTCTCAGTTCCACAGTTCACTCTCCCAGCAACTGCAATGTGTTTGTCCTCACCTGACATCGAGTGGTAACGTAAACATCCGACTATATGTCCAATTATCCAACACAATCCATCTATAGGTGTCATCGTTAAACCTATAATAAGGATCCTGCGAATAAAAATAAGAGTTAGATTTGCACTTTTTCCAAGATTTTTTTTGATGTCCCAATTGTTCTTCTAAAATGGGAGAAGATATTCTGCGGATTTTATTTCAAGAATTGACAAGTGTTTAAAAAATTGGACAAAATTTGTTGAATAGAAGTGCTGTGTCAGTGCTGCCGCCCACCACAACCGATGCCAGTGCTTTCCCCTATGCTTCTGCTGACCCCCAAAGTGTGAGTTGTCCTCTCCAGTACTAGCTTCGACCCTGCCCAGTCAGTGCTACACCCCCATCATTGCCAGTGTTTTGCCCAATGCCACTACTAACTTCCCCGCTTCGCACTGCCAGTGCTTTGCCTAGAGTCAGCGCTAACCTCTTCCAATAACTGCGTTTTCCAGTGTCACTGCCGACTCACACCAATGCCAGTGTTTTTCCCAGTGTGAGTGCTAGTTCCCTCCTTGCCGGTGTTTTCCTGCGTCAATGCCAACTGAACCCACTCAATGTCACTGCTTTCCCCAGTATCAGTGCTACCCGCTCCCCCTACCCAGCCAATGCCAGTACATGCCCCCAGTCAGTGCTAACCCTCTAATGCCTTTGTTTTCTGCAGCATAAGTATGAACCTTGCAATGCCAATGTTGGCCCAAGTGTCAGTGCTAAGCCCCCAATGCCTGTGTTTCCCCCACGTCAGAAATATCCATCTAATGCAAGTGTTTTCGCCAGTGGCAGCACTAACCATCCAATGCCAATGTAATCCACAATGGCAGCGCTAACCACCCAATGCCAGAGTTATCCCCAGGGTCAGTGCCAATCCCACTCCATCACAGTGTTAACCCCAGCGGCAATACCAATGCCACCTCATCCCAGTTTATCCCCAGCGGCACTGCCAATCCCACCCCATCCCAGTGTTACCCCCAGTGTCAGCGGCAATCCCACCCCATCCCAGTGTTATCCCCCAGGGTCGGTGCCAATCCCACCCCAACACCAGTGTTATCCCCAGGGTCAGTGCCAATCCCACCCCACCACCAGTGACCAGTGTTATCCCCAGTGTCGGTGCCAATCCCACCCCATCCCACTGTTATCCCCAGCGGCAGTGCCAATCCCACCACATCCCAGTGTAATGCACAGCAGCGGTGCCAGTCCCAACCCATCCCAGTGTCATTCCCAGTGTCAGCACCAATCCTACCCCATCCCCAGTGTTACTCCCAATGTCGGCGCCAATCCCACCCCATTCGCAGTGTTATCCCCCAGTGTCGGCACCAATCCCACCCCATCCCAGTATTATCCACAGTGTCGGTACCAATCCTACCCCATCCCAGTGTTAT